TCCTTACCTAAAAGATCAAAGAGAGCAGTTAAACTAAAACTACAACAGAGGTCAAATAATCTTGGCGGAGGAATTTACCGCGTACAAGAAAATTCTTGTGAGTAAGATTTTAGGACTGATGTGATGAGGGAAAAAATTAACATGAAAACTTTTGATTTTATAAAGTACCTCGTTCTGAAGTGACCGATGACTCCAGCATCCATCAACAACTTGTGGCTGCACAGAAGTCAATTTTCGAAGCCGAGCTCATTGACCAAGTATGTTATAATGAAGCGCAACGTGGTCACAAATGAAGATTGTATTCAATTACTAGGATTATAGAAAAGAATGTTATAGCGAATTTCACTTCCTCTTAATATGCTTGTTTAATATTAGGTAATACGTGAGGCCCGTTCCATGCCTAGTGTAACATTAGTTGAGAATGAAATATTTATCCGAATCTACCAGAACGTGGATTTAACGATACAATGGGTAGTTTTTATAGTATGCTAATCTTATATTTTCTTAAAATTAGCCATCTTTAACTGTTGTACTTCCTTTCTTTCTTTCATCAGGATAATATTGAAACGACAGAAGAATCCCCGTCTACCAGTAACACTTGGACGGCAGCCGTTGAAGCTGATAATTTTAACATGACCATCTCCCCGGAGTCTTCAACTTGCACTGTGTTGAAATTGGCAATGGAGCTTATGGTGAGAAGATATCACCGAAGACATTTGCTTAAACAACAGGAACGAATGTTGCACGGGACGAAGGGTCCAATACGAGAGATGTATGGTCACATTTTTTAAATTTTGAAAAAAAAATTATCCCATCTAATTCATTTTATGATTAATTTTTATTTTTAAAAATATTCAACAGCAATCACGCACAAATTCTCTCCCATCTCATTCATCTACTCAAATATCACTTTTTCTGCGATCATATTCGAGAAATAGTTAACGCTTCGACAAAGGCATTGAGAAACGGGGGTATACCCGTACAAATTCATTTTATTTCTAACATGGCCAAAGGAAAAGATTTCGTTGAAGACGTATGGAAAAAAATTGGCAACGATAAAGTTCCCTTATTTATGGGCATGATCATAATAACTATCGATCGCAGGTATAATTTTTACAGTTGGTTGCATTTTGATTTGATAAAGGGATTCATGAAGTTTTGTTTTTAAAATTTGACTTTATTATGTTTAAGACGAAGTCTTCGATTTACTTTAGAATCTCCGGCGTCTGTTACCGTTCATCTCACTCACACGGATATAAAAACGCGTGATCTGACTAAATTTCAGGACTTGCTTTCTCGGGAAATAAATTTATTTTTGTTGAAAATTGTCCACGAGCAATTGAATTATTTGACAGGGTTGGATAACGTGCTATATGGAAATAGTACTTGGCTTTTGGATCCGGCGATGATGGCTATATATAAAGACGTCCCACCGGTGTTAACTAATTCGGAAGTAAAATGGCCAAAGGCGCTTTGGAGACGCCCGGTGTAAGTGAAAGTTAATTATATTTTATGGGAGTTAAAGTAAACTTCTATTTTTTAATAATGATGTTATTTTTTTTAGTAAAATCTTAATTGTCAACGAACATCCATCACCTGACAATCTGACCTTGAAGGTAGAAGCCGTTGGAATTGA